CCCGGGCGCGCCGCCGCGCGGCGGGGCGGGGGGGGCTGGCTCGCGCCGAGCGCCGGGTGCCGCTCGGGGTTAGCGGCTGCACGGGGGCAGGGCGCAGGGGCGCGAGGGGAGGCGATACGAAAGGGGCCTCGTGTGCGGGGTGCTTGGGGGCAGCGTGGCCTCCCCAGCTTCCCCTGGGCGATGAATAATGGGGGGGGGAACGTGCACTTGTCGTGCCCTTTTGGGCCCCAAGGGGCCCTCTCAGAGCCCCTCGAGGGCACAAAAGGTGTGGGTGTGGGGGGGGGGGGGGGGGGGGCGCGCGTGCCAACGGGCCCCTCGGGAGCGGCGCGGGCGGGCCGGGAGCCCGGCCAGAGGTGCGCGCGTGCAGAGCAGTCGTTCCACAGTGTCCAGTCTCCAGCAGCAGCCAAGCGCGTCACGGCAGCATCCCCAGCGGTAGATCGTAGGAGCGGAGGGGGGGACCCACAGGTCCCCGACGCGCACGACAGGGCAACCCCCCCCTGGCCTGGAATGCACATTCGGAGCTCACTGCTTTTTCCCACTGCCCCCCTGCTTTGGACGTCCGAGATGGGTACGAAGAAAATGGGTACGATGCCCAACAACCAATGTTGTCCAAAACCGACAGCGGCCGCTGTTGGGCGGGCGGCTTTTTGTCTGAAGTGGACAACGACGGCGGCGGCGCGGACAGCGCGTCCTGTTCAAAATAAACAGGAACTGCTGTCGGTCTTTGTACCCCTTCTTTTCGTACCCGTTTCGATCGTCTTGACCTGCGTTCCTCCCTCTTTCGTCCACCCTCCTTCAGTGCCCTTTCGGGGCAGCTCTGGGGTCTCTTCTCCCCCGCGTCCCCCCTCTCCCGCCTCTGCTCCTGGTCCCCGCCTCCCCCCTCTCCCGCCTCTCCCCCCTCTCCCGCCTCTCGCTCCCCTCTTTCCCTCGGGTACCCCTCCCGTCTAGCTGGCGTCGCTGTGGCCAACCTTTATACCACCGCCGCTCAGCGAAGTTCTGTCGGGGCGGAGGGGACGATGGCATCGATCTCCGATCAGATGACGCTGTCACCAGCTTCAGAAGGAGCAGAAGGAGGAGGAGGAGGAGGAGGAGGAGGAGGAGATGGCCACCAGCGCCCGAGCGACTCCAGGAGAGACAAGCTACCATTGCGAAGGGTGGACAGCGAAGCGGCCGGCCCCGCCCAGCAGGCGCCCGAGTCTGCCGTGGCTACCGCAACTTTCACAACTACACGCTTTTGTCTCGCGCTCCGCCTGGGCCCACGTCGGTATTCACGACTAGTATAGTCAATAGGTACAGTCGGGGCCTTGACCTAAGGAACCCAAAATAAGGAACGAGGGCCTCTTTTCCATAAGTTAAACTTTGATTTCCGATCAAAAGCATAATACATAAAAAAACTGAGGCGAGCTGTGAAACACTTAAGGAACACGGAGCCCCTCCCCAACGAAAAGGGTTCCTTCTTCAGGGCCCCGACTGTATAATAGGGACGCGCGATAAGGATGTAAGGGCCTTGGAAAGCCATGTCGACACTTTGCGAGCGGGGCGCGGCCAGCGAAAGCGGCCAAGGATGGGCCGAAGGGGAAGGATGCAAGGGTAACCTTGGAAAGTCGCTCGTCCTTACTATACGGGTTGACTGTGGGTCGCGGAGTCCACTCTGGCATAGGCGGCGATGGGCGGCCCCGACACTAATTAGAACTAGAGGGCCAACTCTCGCACGCTGATTCGAGTCCTGTAGGCTCAGCAGCAAGTGGCGCGACGCCACAGCGCCCAGCAACCACCGCGAGCTCTTCTTCAGGCTGCCAGTCTGATCGATCTTCACCAAGATTGCCCCAAGATGGCCCCCGGAGGCTCCCAAGGGTGCCCCCAGGAGGCCCCCAAGATGCCCCCAAGAGGCTGACAAAAGACCCCCAAAAGGCCCCATAAGGCCCCCCAGAGGCACCCGAGACGCCGCTAGAGGCTTCGGCGAGGAAGCCAGAATCATTGATTTCACTGAGGTTTCGGCCAAGGGTGCCTCAATACGGCCCCAAGAGGTGCCAAGGAGGCCCCAAGAGGCCCCCAAGAGGCTCTCAAGAGATCCCCAGGAGGCCCCAAGAGGCCCCCCAGAGGCGCCCAAGACGCCCCACGAGGCCTCGGCGAGGAGGCCGAAATCATTGATTCCACTACGGCCCCAAGAGGTGCCCAGGAGGCCCCGAGAGGCTCCCAAGGTGCCCCCAAGATGCCCCCAAGAAGCTCCCAAGAGACCCCCATAAGAGGCCCCCCATGGACACTCAAGACGCCTCAAGAGGCCCCCGGGACTGCCAAGAGGCCTCCAAGAGGCCCCCAAGAGAACTCCACAAAGCTCTCGAACAAATCCGAAGAGACTTCGAGAGGCATCCACGAGGCCTCTGGCCTTTCTGCTCGCCCTCCTCATGCTCTTCCTCCTCCTCCTCCTCCTCCTCCTCCTCACTCGCCTGTTCCTCCTTCTCCTCCCTTCTCCCCCTCCCCTCCTCCTCCCTCCTCCTCTCCTCCTCCTCCTCCTCCTCCTCCTCCTCCTTCCGCTCCTCCTCCTCCCTCCTCCTCCTCCTCCTCCTCCTCCGATGTCTGCTACGTCCTCTCCCTCTTGAGGTACGTCTTACCCAACCCTTTATTCCACTTCATGCTCCTCCACATCTCTGATCAGGGCAACTGGTCAGGGAATCGTTGCTGAAAGAGCTGGTGGGGTTACGCGAAGCGTTTAGAGTAGTTATCATAATGATTCACGCTTCGTGCCGCGCTCGGCGTGACGACTATATCGTGATCTGTACTTCCGTGGGCACGATGGCTCAATCGGCGAATGTTCTGCCTTGCTTTAGGCTGGCGATCAAGCGCCCCTGGGCTTGACAGAGTGAGCCGGGACTTCCATCGATTGTGGTATCCGTGCTCATACGTATGCTATGCTTACTCATGTTGTGCGTCGTCCCCTGTACACCATTCCATGGCTATGGTGCTGTTGCTTCGGTATCTTGCGATCTGGCCAGACAGCTTCATATCAATAGCAGCGGCCAGCTGGGCACAGCTGGGCACCATATTCAAAGGATGAGGCTCATGTGATTCCCCATATCCAAAGGATGGGGCTCCTGGTATTCCCCATATCCAAAAGATGGGGTTCCTGCTCTTCCCCATATCCCAGAAATTGGGTTCTTGAAATTACTGTGACCGCGCCGAGGACCCACCCATTCACCTCCCTCCTCCTCCTCCTCCTCTTCTTCCTTACTCAGATCACACTCAGGGCCACTACTCAGGTTATGCTATGATGGTGATGGGTATGATGCTGATAGGGATGGTGATGATGATGATGTTGATGCTGATGATGATGATCAGGATGACGATGATGATGAGGATGAGGATGAGGATGAGGATGATGATGATGATGATGATGATGATGATGGTGGTGATGGTGGTGATGATGATTATGATGAGCAGGATGGTGTTGCTGCTGATGATGCAAACAATTTTTCACCGCGTGGAGCTTCCCATATGTGCATATCATACTCATGTCGCTTCTCGCTGAAGAGCTCTGTCTGTGAGCATCTGGGTGTCAGAGCGAGTCGGCGTGGACGACGGGCGTGACAACGACGACGGCGACAGCGACGAATTCAGTGACTTCAGCGGGCATCTTCCAGGAGAGATGAAGGAAGCACAAGTGGAAGAGCGAGGGGCGTTGGACCACCAAATGAGAAAAGACTGCGTGAATCTGAGCATGAATGATCTGAATGTGAGTGAATCTGAATGTGAACCTGGTATGGTCGAGTGTGAGTGTCAGTGAGTCTAGGTATGACGGAGTCTGAGCACGAGTGGGTCTGAGAATGCGTAAATCTGAATCAGTGAGAGTGAATCTGAGTGTGGGTAAGTCTGGATGTGAGTATGAATCTGAATATACCGAGGACGAGTCTCAGTCTGAATGGGTCTGAATATGAATGAGTCTGGCTACGAGTGAATCTGAGGGTGGTTCTCTCCTGGGGCACGAATCCTTTGTGCTTTAGGCTGCGCCTTTCCTCTCAGTGGCGTGGCTGTTTGCATAGGGGTCTAGCCTGGGCCAGCCAACGAAGCGCAAGGGTTTCGCACGGTGTCTGCATGAGCACCCCCTATTCCTCGCTTCATCATGAAGTGAAGGATCGCGTAGCCATTTCGACTCAGTCACGTTCAGCCATGCCCAGGCCACTAACGTGCAGGTACATCCATCCGAAGCTTGGACATACTCAAACTCATGCGCATAGACTCACTCGTACTAGTGAGACTCATTCACACTCCAACTCATCCACAGAGAGCACACTCCCAATCTATCAATACTCAAGCCAGTTAAAATTCGAAGTCTCTGCGCGTAGGCACTCACGGCGGAAGAGTCCATGCAAATAGATGCAGATATGGGGAGCTCTACGCCGTGAATAATTGCTTTTTGCAGGCAGGGTCTGGTACCCTCTCCGAGAGGAGGACGAGGGGTCTGGGTATGGCCTGGACTCAGGTACCGAACGCGCCCTTACTCCAACCGGCGAGTTGACCAATAACAACAACGACAGAGAGCAGAAGAGAGAATGGCAGAAGGAACCACGACAACGAGGAGGCGACCCCGACAAGACAAGGCTCGAAATGCAAACCGACCCGACCGACAGGCTGGGCGCCGGACCGGCACGTGCGCACGCAGTCACACTCAGCAGGTTCGGAAGGAAAACTGGCCATCGCTCGGACGTCCATTCCCTGTGTTTTTTTCGGTTTCGTGCGTGGTTTTTTCGCCAACTGATCAAGGATGCTCCTCGATGGTCCTCGCCGAAGGAAAACTGCACACGTCCGAGCGATGCCAAGCAAATCGGGAGGCCAGAGCACACAGGGAGAAGGGGGTGGAGGAGAGGAGGGGAGGGACGAGATGGCAGGCAGGCTGGCGGCTGGGGGAAGGAGAAAGGAGGGAAGAAGGGCGAGGATCGAGAGTGAAAGGCAGAGGAAGAGGAGCAGGCCGCACCACCAGGACCAGAAATAGCAGGAGACGCATATTTTCGAAAACACCGAATGCGCTTGCGCTACAGCCCAGAATCCGAGTGGGCGCTCCATGGCATGCGCAACATTCGAGGCGTCGGTTGCCAACACTACAACTCGTCTGCAGCTGCGCTGCTCACAAATGACCCCACTGGGTACGGCGTAGCAAGAGCCCTGCATGTCACCATCGATGCAGCGTGGAAAATTCATGGTGGCTTCAAGAACTCGGGAGAGGGTATGACTAATTCAGCGCTACTCTCATGATTCCAGCTACAGCATACTTGCCGAGCAATGCCGAACAAAGAAGCATTGGTTAAACATGATGCGTATTCTGCGTTGATGAATCCTTGGTTTGCTGTGGACTCTTTCCCTCCTCCCCTTCATCCTCCTGCTCCGCCTCCCCCATTTCTTTCCATCACTGAGGACTCCTCACTCGTCGTCGGCCGCTCCCTCCTCCTCCTCCTCCTTCTCCTAACTCCTCCTCGTTTGCCTCCTCCTCCTCCTTATTCTCCTCATCCCCTCTTCCTCCTCCTCCGTCTTTACATTCTCACATGTCACCGTTCATTCTCACTCCTCATTCGTCACTACCGTAACTTGTCCTCCTCCGCCTCCCCCTCCCGCATTCCTCTGCCTGATAAGAAAAAACTCTTCCTCGTGGCACCGCCAGGCGCGTCAACAATGCGGCCCAGGCGCTTCGACAGACAAGAACTCGTTGAATATGACCGCTCCTGTGCTGCAAATTGCGCCGGATGGGTAATGGGGAAAGAAGGGCGGAAGGGATGATGAGACCAACACGGCAAGGGGAGGGGGTGGAGACGGGGGAGACGGGGGTAGGATGGGAGGGGGTGAAGGGGAATAGGGGAATACAGTCGGGGCCCTGAAGAAGGAACCCTTTTCGTTGGGGAGGGGCTCCGCGTTCCTTAAGTGTTTCACAGCTTGCCTCAGGTTTTCCTTATGTTTTCGATCGGAGTTCGAAGTTTAACTTATGGAAAGAATGGGCCTCGTTCCTTATTTAGGGTTCCTTAGGTCAACGCCCCGACTGTATGAGGGGTGGAGGGAGAGGGAGGGAAGTAAGGGCTCCCCCAGGAGTGGCCCAAGAGTCCCCCATTGCAGAGCCCAGTATGCCAACATGCGGCAACTGTTGCAGCCAGGAGCTGTGGAAACACCTTCCCTCGCGTTGACCAAGCTTTCGCCTCACGCTCGGCTGCGCATGGTTTTCCCCGAGGTCAGAGGCGGCGGTGACTCGTCAAATACGTCGTCGTTACTGGCTGCAACGGGTGATCGAAAGCCAGAGAGATTGCTCCGGTGAGATTGGTATTGCTAGAGACGAGCACGGCTGCTTCTGGATTACACGTCCTTTGCTTCAAATTGTTACAAAGCTGTTGGTACAGCCAACCCATACAATAAGGACGCACGATATGATGCAAGGGCCTTGGAAGGCCACGTCGACACTATGCAAGCGGGGCGCGGCCAGCGAAAGCGGCCAAGGATGGGCCGAAGGTGAAGGATGCAAGTGTAACCTTGGAAAATTGCTCATCGTTACTATGCGGATTGACTGTATGGCTGACATTGAAAGTGCAATACCCTAAGCCAATCGAATTCTCACATCGCTTTGAACAAAGAGTCTCCCTCTCCAAACTTAGCCTTATCAATCAAATCATCCTGTGGGTACGCGTATGTGCTCAATAATGCCAGGGGTACGGACATAACTGCCGCGAACAAGCCAGACCATGCTGTGGCTATTGTTTCACTGGTGTAACACATGTTTCCAACTCGGACGTCGCTCCGGACAAACGCGCATGCAAGTCGAAATGATGCCAAATTCGCAATGAACGTGCCCTTCACCACCCAGAACTTGGCGTGCGTCCTCCGCTCTATCAACACTTCGTGTGTGGCTTCTAGCAGCGCGAAGATGCCGTACATGGCTGTAACCAACGAGAGCGTTTCCAGCTTTGGCAGGATGTTATGAAGTCGTTCTGGTAGTTCCTCGGCCATCTCCGCCGCGGCAATCGCGGGAACGAATATGATGAATTGCCACACAAGGCAACGAATGATGAGGAGGTCCTCTCGTCGCGGTGGTTGTGGAGTGGCAAAAGGCCTGAAGCAGCATGCCACAGGCGGCACGGACCACATCTTCGTGTCGGACAGCGCCGCGAGCTCCTGCACAGCCTCATCGAAGGACGGCGCCACCATGCCGAGCAGCAGCTGGACCAGAGTCCAGAAGGCGAACACTTCGTAGCCCGCCGCCAGCAAGAAGAGTAGCTTCCAAATCCTGGGAGCAACCATGGCGGCGAACTTGAAGGCGACTATCGTCAAGGGCACGGCGGCGACGGTGCGAACCTGCCTCACCCGCAGCGCCATTTTGGCTCCCGCCGCGTCCGGCGCCGAGAGCCTCCACAAGTGCGGCGCCGAGATGAGGGAGGTGGCGATCAAGCAGACTCCTTCCGCAAACACCGTACGGCAGCTTCGTGTCGTGTCGACCCCGGCGTTGGTTCTGACACCGCGGGGATCATTCAACCTTGAACGATCGGCCATTTCAGAAACGTCCAAATCGTTCCACATCGAACGATTCTGGGTCGCCCGCGGCGTTCAAGGTTGAACGCCACTGGCAAGGTCGCCGCTGGTCGACACGACACGAACCTACCGTAAGAGAAAGGGAACTATGCCACGAATCCAACGGCCCACATGCGGGTCCAGCATCCTGTGTATGTGGTTGATGCCTTCTGCAGGCTGATCACCGTGGGAATATGACGTGCTCATGCTTATCGCAAGTCGGTGGCCATAGAAGTAGGATGCACTCAGGCTCCAGCACAGAAAACCATAATGTAACATTCCGGAGCGGAAAATCCACCCTCAGAATGAGCACCCCGACAGGCGAAGCCGTTTAGTAAACGCACCCAAGGAAGAGATCGAACATGGCAGGGCTGTTTAGTAAACGCCCAGGGCCGTTTGGCAAACACCAGTTATCGGGGTCGGGGTGGTTCTTCCTCCCTTGCAACATGTCCAACATACAAGCTCCAACTATCACTGGCCGCACGACATCCGAAGACCCAAAAGAAAACAACAGCCTCACCCGACCGTGTACTCGCAGCCTCTGGGCGCCGAGGGACACGTAAAACGAAACTGCGAGGCTGAGCGCCCTGGCGGCTCCCGAACGAAGTGCAAGCACACACTCTGGGGCCGTCTTGGGGTTGGGAGCGGAGGGGAGGGATTCTCCAGATCCTTCTCCTCCTTCTCCTCCTTCTCCTCCTCCTTCTCTGCCTCCTCTTCCTTCTCGGGACCTTCCTCCTTCTCCAGCGTGTTCCGGAAAGGTCCCGCCGAAACGCGCTGTGCAGAATTGCTGGCTTCATCTTTCACTGTGCGCGTGGGGTCTTCTCGGGAGCGGGCCTGGGCCTTCCTCGGAGCGTCTCGAAGGCATCTTAGGCTGTCGTTCGACCGCCCTGGGGCCCGCTTGGCCCGTTATGGGGCTTCTTGGGCTCCTCCTGGCCCGTTCCGGGGCTGGCTGGGACCGTAACCGGGGGGTCTTGAGAGCAGTCCGGGGCCCCGGTCCGCCCATGGGGGGTCGAGGCACCTGGTGTGGGGCCGCGCGCCTCCCCCCGGTATATATATATTCATGTATTCATATTCTCATCTATTCATATATTCATATACATATACTATACATATAATATACATACAATTATGCATATACTTATACATATACATATACATGCACATATACAGATACATATACATGCACGTATACACATATACATATACACAGACATGAACATATACAGATACATATGCATGCACGTGTACATGCACATATGCCATTAACATGCACATATACATTTACATATGAACATGTCGATTCAGCCCCGAGCTCCGGCCACTGGGATGGCGAAGGAGTACACGACGGGGTGCGGGCCCAGCAGGTGCTCCGGGACGTCCGGCCAGAGCAGCGAGGCGCCGATGCCTCGGGGGCAGTCCGCGCGAGCGCCCCCGTGGTCGGACATGGCCCGGCTGCGCAACGCGCGGGCCAGCACGCGCCGCCTCGATCGTCGGCCGTCGGCCCTAAGCCAAGAAGAAGGGGGAGAGAGGGAAGACCAGGATCGCCCAGAACAATGTTTTCGATGTTCGTTTTGTTGTCGTTTTCCCTAGTGTTGTCTCCAATCCGCCTCTGCTGCAAAACTAAAACGAAACGAACACGGCCACGAAGTCGCCCAAAACACCGTTTCGGTCGACTCCTGGGAGAGATGGAGGAGAGAAAGACGGCAGTGACGACGACGAGGGCGAACTCGGGACGAGGACGAACGCACGGAACAAGATGGCGCGGAGAAGGAAGAGGAGGAGGAGGAGGAAGAAGAGGAGGAGGAAGAAGGAGGAGGAAGAAGGAGGAGGAGGAGGAGGAGGATCACTGACCAAACAGCCAGGACTGCGAGCGGGCCGCGGGCTGCCGTTGCACAGTCCCTGGATGCAAGCAGGGATTGACGACACCCGTCTCCTGGGGAAACCCCCACTTGCAGCCTGTAATGGCGGCTTACTAACGGGCGCGAGCCCTGGCTAGTAACCCACAACAGAGGCGAAGCAGGAATGGCCTACTACAATCGGCATTGCCACACGCCTGCGGCGGTAGCCATCGGGGGGCACTACGGAGGGGATTGGACAGGAGAGGGGAGGGGCCAGCGAAACAAGAAAGGTGAAGTGGGCGAAGGGCAGGAGCTGGGGTGAGGCCGCGGAGCGGGCGAGCGGGGCGGGCAGGGCAAGGGGGGTTGGGGTGCCTGGATTAGGGGCAGCACGTGAGAGTGTAAGTCTCCAGCTCGTGCTTGAAGGATTGCGTTCCCGCCATTACTTGCAGTAGCGAGCCCGTTCGATACTGCGTTTGGTATGTCGATCGGCAATCATATCCCGTGTGTCACAACATTGTGTGCTGTGTACGATACGTCTGTCCATCATCTGCCTTATCCAGTTAATGTGTCCTAACGGTGTACATTATGTAGACGTTTTAAGGTCTTTGCTGGACAAGGATTTGAATACCGACTCAGCATCGATGGTGAGGGTAACTTTGATGCACGGACCGCCCATTTCAAGTATGTGTTTTGTTTTTTGTTTGAACTGTGTGGGTGTAGGCGGTCCCGCCTTTTGCTCATGTAGGGTAACAGTGGTCGGGTAGCAGTCCTCTAAGTTATGGGCTGCTGCGAGCGTCTCAAGGCAAGACGCGCCGCCACGTTGCCACGCGTCCCATGCGCAAGAAAGAGTCGTGGGCGGCGCCACCACCCCCGCCCGCGATGCATGCCGCTCCCGTGAAAAATGGATAGACTTTGGCGCGACGTCGGCCGCTGCGATGTCGGGCAGGTTCATCTGGTCATGCGTCGACATACTTTCCAGCATCCGGTAGCGTATCAGGCGGTTCTTGTCCCCGCCGTGATTGGCCTGCAACTTCGCGTCGTCTTTCCGCCGAGCGTTCCGATCGAGCGGAGTCTGGCCGTTCGCCACCATGCCAAAGCGCCGTGCGGGGCCCCCGCACCGGGAAGCGGCGTCTCCATCATCCCCTCGACAAGCAGGCGGAGCTCCTCAAGCGCCGTGCTGGACAGGCTGCGCGCGGATGCCGATGGCCGGGAAGGCTGGCGCAGCCGCGGGGGCCGCGCCGCGGCCTGCCCCGCCTGGCACGGGTGCACCGCGTGCGCCGAGCGCGGAAGCCCGGGGACTCCCGCGGCTGCGGGCACCACAGGCCCACCGCCGCCCGCCGCGGCTGCTGCGCCCAGGGCCCGCCCACCAAGGTTGAGCTGCTTGCCATCGGCTGGCACTGGCAACCCTCAGCGGTTGACAGCCTTGGCGCGGGCGGCCTGGAAGCCGGCGGGCGTCGGCACGTTCTGGAACCGGCACGCTAGCAACGCAACGCCGCCAGGTCCAAGAAGAAACGCGGCGCCACAAACTCCGCTGTCCATCAGACCAAGCTATACAACGCTGGTTCCGTGGATCCAATTTTCTTCATAGATGTCCCCCGTCTGGGGTAAGTGCACTTATGTCGAGCACGGGACCATGCCCTATGGTTATCATACAGTGTGCGCCCGCACGCGCTCCCGAGGGCAATACAAGAAGTGTAGTGTGCTACAGTCCACCCGTACACTGAGGACGCACGAGAGGGATGCAAGGGCCTTTGAAGGCCATGTCGACACTCTGCGGGCGGGGCGCGGCCAGCGAAAGCGGCCAAGGATGGGCCGAAGGGAAGGATGCAAGGGTAACCTTGGAAAGTCGCTCATCATTACAATGCGGGCTGACTGTACATTACGTCAGATCATTCACGTTTGGGCATGGGGCCAGCGAGAAAAAACAGTGATGCTGGTGTCGCCACGCAAGGCCGCTACCAACAGGAAAAGCACAGCAGCCTGCCCAAACGAAAACACATGCGGGTAGCCTTGTGGGTCACCACGCGTGACCAGAGGGGTTAACACAAGGTCTTCCCCCACGAAAATAAAACACAACGTTTTTGGCGTGGCCATGTGGATCCGCCGCCGTTCCCGCAGGAGCAAACACACAAGCATCTCCTAGCACCAAATACGGAAGTATCTTTGGCCAGCCACGGATGGCAAACGCGCGAGACGAATCAAAGAACACAAAACATTGGCCTGATGGAAACAACAAAACGACCCCCCCCCCCGCGCGAACCACTTGGAAAAAATAATCAAAAAGGCCTGGCCACCGCCGCGCAAGAATGCGTCGTCGGCGGAGCCCCTTTCGGCGGCCAGCCTGGACCAAACGAGGACACACAAAGGGATGGAAGCACACAGATTTTTGCTGGGCCCCGGCGGGCGCGCGCTAGGCCCTGGAAGTAAAACACCAGTGGATGATTCCTCAGAGGGGTTGTCACTGCCCTTCTGCAAGTCTGGCGTGGCCCGGCGAAAGAAAGACAGTGTGAAGCCCAAAGCATGGAACACAACCGGACCCGGCCCGCACACACACACACACACACACACACACACATATATATATATATATATATATATATATGTACTAGAACCACGCGCGCGCTGCGCGCGCGCTTAGGTTCTAGTCCAGCCCATGGCGCTGCGATGAAACGGAGGTCGGGGTTCCTGGGCGACTCGCAGTCGGAGACGGGTGGTGTCCGTCTTTGGCTAGTTATGGGATGTCGCAGCGCTTCCTTGGACTGGCTTTTGGGCTGTTCAGGCGCTCTTGTGGGGGGGGACAGGTGTCTGTGGCCCCGATGGCGCCGTCCAGGGTGGCCTCCTCGTTGTCACCACGCGCAGGTCTTGGCTTGCGGTGTCGTCGGGGAGATCGCTGAACAGGCTTGGGACATTGACTGGCTTTCTGATGAAATGTCTAGGCCGCAATTTGCTGGTCTTTGGATGTCGTCACGTGTTCTCGGCTTGTCGTGCCAAACATGTGCGGGAGGGACGAGGAATGACGGAGGACGGGACGAAAACTGTTCTGAAATATATGTAATGCACGCGCTGCCACGCCAGCTGGCGGAGCACGTGCAGAAGAAACGAGAAATGCCTGAGGACCGAAAGCAACCTGCCTTACAACGTAATGCGCGCGCTGTCACGCTGGGAGGCGAAGCACTTGCAAGAAGATCGAAGAAAGACTGACGAAGCAGGGAACACAGCCGTGATACTAAATGCACGCGCTGACACGCCAGCTGGCGGAGCAGGTGCAGGACGAAGGAGTGGTAACGGAGCACGGAGAGAAAGCTGCCTTGAAACGGCATGTACGCGCTGTCACGTCGGCTGACGGAGCACGTGCGAGAGGGACGAGGAAGGACAGAGACAGGAGGCATATACATATATATATATATATATATGTATATATATATACATATATACAAGACTGCAGTGGCGCTTCGCGCCATGCACATTGGTCCTTGAAGTTTGGTGTGCAGGCGGAATAGCAGGAAGGTCAAGCCGACAATTTAGCGATAACTCCTTGTTGCCTTTTCTGGCATCGCCGCTATAATCATATCATTCTTTACCCTTCCTCGATGCTTCTTTTTCCTCAATGTCGCCATACCCTGCGAATTCTCCCCATCCTCCTCAGCTCTTTTTTGCGGAGGCTCCTCCTTGGAGAGCCTCTGGGGGCCTCACAAAAATTGTTCCAGGCTTTCTTAAAGCCTTCTGGAGGCCTCCTGGGCGTATACTGGGGGCCTCTGGTGGCTCCCTCGGGCCACCCTGCCTCCAACCGCGGTCTCCCTGAACGACCGGGTCACGATTTGGAATGCTTCGGAGGGTGTCTTGGGGCCATCTTGGGCCGCCACGGGGCTCTCTGAGGGCCATCTTGGACCCGTGTTGTGCCGTTTTTGGGCTCTCTTGGACTGCCTGGAAGCCCTTTCGGATTGTTGTGGGCCGATTTTGGAGCCTCCCAGGCGGCTTCGGACGCCCAGAAGACCGCCGTTTTGGAGCGTCGGGAAGCCGAAAAGAGGAGAACCCCAAAATTCACCAAAAAACAAAAGAAAATCAATGAGTTGTGCCTCTTGGGGCCTTCTTGGGAGTGCTCTTGGAGGCCTCTTTGGGGCCGTCCTGGAGGCCTCTTGGGCCATCTTGAGGTCACGTCGGTCACTCTTCAAGCGCTCTTGTGCTGTCTTGGGGGTCTTTGGGACGTCTCCGATGACCCCCCTGATCGCCCTAGGTGTGCTGGGAAGGCTTGGCAAAACGCCCTGCGAGGCCCGGGGGGTCGCTTCGAGGCCCGTCCGGAGGGTCCCAAAGCCCCAGATCCCGGGAGTCCGGTTTTTTTTTTGGGGGGGGGACGGGTTTCCCCCCCGCCCGGGCTTATAAAAATATAGGAAGAGGAATATATGGAAGAAACAGGAACTCTCTTGAGCCGTCTCGGGTCCTGCTGGGACGTGCCCGGACCGTTTTCGTGTTGTCTCCTCACGCTGTGATAGCATACCAACCATGTTGGGGCATCTTGGGGCCTGGGTCTCTTTCGAAGTCTCTCGGAGCCCGGTTGGGGGCCTCTTTTCTCCTGGAGGCTTCCTGGAGTCCTCCAGGGGTCTATTGGGGGCCTCTTTGTGTTTTCTTTTGGGCCTCCCAGGGGCCTCTTTCGGCTTGCCCTGTTGGGCATCTATA